TTTTTTTTTCTGGAATCGCTGAAGAATTCCTGAGCTGCAGCCTGGCTTTGATTTTTAAATTTTAATTGCTAAATTAAATTTTAAATTTTTAAAGTTTTCATTCCGCGGTAGCAGCGTTTGTGTCCCAGAGCAGGAGGAGGAAGGGGACGCCCGGGAGGCTCCAGAATTCCAGAAAAATCCGTTTATTTGGGGTTTATTTGGGGTTTATTTGGGGTTTATTTGGGGTTTATTTGGGTGTGTGTGACCTTGCCGGGGCTATGCCTGGTCCGGAGCAGCTGCCCAGGGATCTCCAGGGAATGGGGCAGAGCCGGATCCGGTTCCTGGAGCTGCTCTGGCCGAGGCCGCAGCCTGGGAACCCTCCTGGGGAGGGAAAATCCTGGTCTGGAACCCAAACCTTGTGCCCAAATCCCCAAATCCTCCTTTGGAACCCAAACTTTGTGCCCAAATCCCTAAACCCTGCTTTGGAACCCAAACCCTGTACCCAAACCCTGCTTTGGAATCCAAACCTTGTACCCAGAGCCCCAAACCCTGCTTTGGAACCCAAACTTTGTACCCAAAACCCCAAATCCTCCTTTGGAACCCAAACCCTGATTTGGAACCCAAACTTTGTGCCCAAATCCCTAAACCCTGCTTTGGAACCCAAATTTTGTACCCAAATCCTGATTTGGAACCCAAATCCTGTACCCCAAACCCCAAACCCTGCTTTGGAACCCAAACTTTGTACCCAAAACCCCAAATCCTGCTTTGGAACCCAAGCCTTTTACCCAAATCTTGATTTGGAACCCAAACTTTGTTCCCAAAACCCCAAATCCTGGTTTGAAACCCAAACTTTGTACCCAAAACCCCAAATCCTGGTTTGGAACCCAAACCTTGTACCCAAAATTCTAAATCCTGCTTTGGAACCCAAACCTTTTACCCAAATCTTGATTTGGAACCCAAACTTTGTACCCAAAACCCCAAATCCTGGTTTGGAACCCAAACCTTGTACCCAAATCCTGATTTGGAACCCAAATCCTGTACCCAAAACCCCAAATTCTGCTTTGGAACCCAAACACTGTACCCAAAACCTGATTTGGAACCCAAAACTTTGTACCCAAAACCCCCAAATCCATCTTCCCAAACTTTATTCCCAGAGCCCTAAATGCATTTTTGGAATCCAAACTTTGTCCCCAAAGCACTTCTGCAGTTCAGCGTCCTGGGGAGGAATCGTGGAATGTCCTGGGCTATGGAATATCCTGGATTGTGGAAAATCCTGGGTTGAAATGTGGGATATCCTGAGATATGGAATATCCTGGATTGTGGAAAATCCTGAATTGAATTATGGAATATCCTGGGTTATGGAATATCCTGGACTGTGGAATATCCAGGATTGAAATGTGGAATATCCTGGGTTATGGAATATCCTGGGTTGAATTGTGGGATATCCTGAGATATGGGATATCCCGGATTGTGGAAAATCCTGAATTGAATTATGGAATATCCTGGATTGAAAAGTGGAACATCCTGGGATATGGAATATCCTGGGTGGATATTGTGGAATATCCTGAATTGTGGATATGGGCTATGGAATATCCTGGGCTGTGGAATATCCTGAATTGAAATGTGGAATATCCTGGGTTGGATTGTGGAATGTCCTGGGCTATGGAATGTCCTGGGTTATGGAATATCCTGGGTAGAATTGTGGGATATCCTGGGCTGTGGAATATCCTGGGTTGAATTGTGGAATATCCTGGGCTATGGAATATCCTGGGCTGTGGAATATCGGGGGTTATTGAATATCCTGGGCTGTGGAATATCCTGGG